TAAGTATCATGTAAAAGGACACTGAGCACTCATGTTTATTCTCTGGAAGATCAGTGTTTGGAAAGAGTATAAATGGCAGTTGAGACTCTGGAAATTAAATGCACTGAAATTATTGCTGCATGAACTCCCCCTGGAAAATCTTTGTGTACTCTCACACATAGAAATATTCCAATATGAAGACTGCTGATGGAGATGAAATCCATTGATGGAAGTGAGACTCCGTGACCTACCTTAGCACTGTGGTTAAGAAAATAGATTCTGGAAACAGACTACTAGATTTTCATTTCTGTGGACTCTTACTATCTGTGTGACATCATGTAAGCTACCTAAACTGTACAAATCAACGCAAAATGGGACCATAAGAGTACCTCTCTCATAGGCTTATTGGAAGCACTAAATATGTTAATACAAATACATAATTAGAAAAGTATCTGGCACATAGTAAATGCTTAATATTAGCTATAATTATAATTGAATTGATTTTTCGTTTTTTTTCTCTTATCTACCGTTTTGTTCTACTATGTGCTGTAATTGTGAATCTCAGGAGACAGAACGCTGTTGACCATACTCTTTAGCATGGCCACCTAGCATCATTCATCTATGTAAAGACCCTCTTATTACTTTTTTCCTTAATTCAGCCTCGCCAATTCCATATCCTACTATTATTGGTCACACTTAAAAATATTTACTATATATCCTTCCATACTACTTTCCAAAATTTTTAACATATATGTACAAATGTGAAAAATATATTTTAATGTATATTTCTAAATAGTTTGGTGCACTATACCTTACGGTTTTCTCTTGCATTTTTCATTTACCTTTCTGTTTGAGCTACATGCATGTTTTAAAATCAAATGTATTCCTCTTCACTGTTGCATGGTATTCCCTACTATTCTTTCCCACCTCACTGGGGTCCAGCAACTGTGATCTTTCCATTTTCTCAAGCACCCAAAACACCCTCTGTATTAGTTTCCTATGGCTACATAACATATCACCATAAATTTGGCAACACAAAGCAATACCACTCATTACCTTACAGTTCTATAGGTCAGAAGTCCAAGCAGGATCAACTGGGTTCTCTGTTTAGGTTCCCATGAGGCCAAAATCAACATGGCGGCCAGGCTGAGCTTTTATCTGCAGGATCTGGCTTTGAATCTGCTTCCAGCCTCATTCAGGATGTTGACTGAATTCAGTTCCTTGCGGTTATAGACCTGAGGTCCCTTTTCCTTGCTGGCTCTCAACCAGGTGCTTCTCAGCTCCTGAAAGCTGCCTGTGTGTCCTCTCACCTGGCCCCCTCCAGCTTCAGACCAGCAAGAGGGCTGATCCTCCTCACGTTCCCAAATCTCTCTGATGACTGCTGCCACCAGCTAGAGAAAACTCTCTGCCTTTAAAGGGCCTGTGTGATTAGATTAGTCCCACCCAGATCATCTCCATTTTGATTAACTCAAAGTCAACTGAAAAAAAAAATCCCCTTCGCCCTATAAAGTAACATAATTACAGGAATGACATTTCAGCACATTCACAGCTTCTACCACACTGACAGAGAAGGAGTTACACAAGAGAGTGGGCCGTTACAAGCCTCCACAACTCCCTAAATCGGAATCAACAGCTCTATGACAATGTAACGGTACTTTCACAGGCCTAAAGATGACAAAGTTCTAGAAACCCTCACATGGTACATTTTGCTTACGTGTCCCACTAATCTGCAATTTTGAGCATAAAATACCAAACTGTAGGAGGTTGAGCTAATAGGACCTTCTCTAATGCTGTCCAAAATGTGGTTAACTACCAACCTCTGAGCATGGCTTCGGCTGCTATAACTCAGGAAGCAGCCGGCCCCTCACAACTTCCTGTTTCCTGAGTGGGCTTTGGCTCAGGATCTGACCAAATGAAGGGCTTCCTCCTACTAGGGTGGCTGCTCCTCCTTGTTTCTGAGATGTGGACTAGTTCTATAGGCCAGAAATGTATGACAATAGAATTTCTGGATCTGTAAGTATCATGCAGCCATGAATATTATATACTATTGTTTTGTACATCTTTGTTCACTATTGCTTTCGATATTTTATTGTATGATCATGCCACAAATTATGTGTCCAGTCTTTGCTGAAGGACATTTAACTTGCCACCAGTTGCTAGTTTTCATAATGTTGCTCTTTACATCCTTGTACACAGCTCCTCCTGCGTATGTATGAGTGTTCCTTCTAGGGTGCAGTTCCAAGGGAGTGGAAATGCTAGGGTGCATGAGCGTGTATATGTGCACACACACAGAGTATGCAATTCTACTATTTCCTAGATAGTTAGCAATTCCTCAATACAGTTATTGTACTTGTTTATCCTCCCTCTAGAGTTTCTCCACACCCTCACCAACACTTGGTTTCAGGAAACAATATTTGCCAGTCTGGAAGGGGAAAAGGGTGCTTCTGGATTTTAATTAACTGTGTCATGATTACTAATGAGATTGCTTTTTATCACATTTCCTCTTTTGTATACTCCCTGTTGATGGCTTTTGTCCATTTTGTATCAGAATTTGTTTTATTTTTCATTTTATATTGGAGTATGGTTGATTAACAATGTGATAGTTTCAGGTGTACAACAAAGGAATTCTGTTATATATACACATACATCTATCCTTTTTCAAATTCTTTTCCCATTTACATTATTATAGCATATTGAGCAGAATTTGTTTTTCAGTTGATTTGCATGACATTCTTTATACATTCTGGATACTAATCCTTGTGGATTTGCAAAGTATTATGTTATTTCTTAACAGTGTTTACGGCAACTTTGGGAACAGAAATGTTTGATTATTTTGTATTGTGGTAAAAAAACTTAACATGAGATCTACCCTCTTAAAAAGTGTACCATACAATATTGTTAGCTGTAAGCACAATGTTGTACAACAGAGCCCTAGAACTCACTCATCTTGCCTAAACTGAAACTCTGTACCTGTTAAATAAAAACTCCTCATTTCCCCTCCCCCAGTCCTGGCAACCACCATTTAACTGTCTGCTTCTATGAGTTTGAATCTTTTAGTTAAACATATATAATAACTCTTTCTCTTTTTTGTGTATCTATTATATATTTTTGGTTTCTGGGTACCATGAGGTTAATATAAAGCAACCTATATACAGATATGTGATGATTTTAAGTTGCTGATCGCTTAATTTTAAATGCATTTTAACAACCCTTCATTTTTACTACCCTCTCCTCATGATGACTGTTTTTGACACCATACCTTACATTTTTTTGTTTTGTGTGTCCCTTAACTGCTTATTGCAGACATCATTTTACTACTTTTGTCTTTTAACCTTCCTTTGTACACGGTTGACTTACTACCTGTATTCTATATTTACCTTTCCTGATGAGCTTTTTCCTTTCATGATTTTCATGTTTCTAGTCGTGGCCTTTTCTTTTTTGCTTAGAGAAGTCCTTTTAATATCTCTTATAAAGCTGGTTTGGTGATGCTGAACTCTTTTAGCTTTTGCTTGTCTGTAAATCTGAATGAGAGCCTTGCTGGGTAGAGTATTCTTGGTTGTAGGCGTTTCCCTTTCATCACTTTATCATGCCACTCCTTTCTGGCTGGCAGAGTTTCTGCTGAAAATTCAGCTGACAGCCTAGTGGGAGTTCCCTTGTATGTGACTTGTTGTTTTTCCCTTGCTGGTTTTAATATTCTCTTGTCTTTAATTTTTGCCATTTAATTACAATGTGTCTTGGTGTGGACCTCTTTTGATGAATCCTGTTTGGCACTCTCTGTGCTCTCTGGACTTGGGTGACTGTTTGCTTTGCCAGGTTAGGGAAGTTTTCAGCTATTATGTCTTCAAATACGTTCTCAGACCTTTTTCTCTTTCTCCTCCTTCTGGGACCCCTATAATGTGAATGTTAGGATGTTTGATGTTGGCCCAGAGGTCTCTTAAACTGTCCTCCCTTCTTTTCATTCTATGTTCTGTTCCGCATCAGTGATTTCCACTACTGTCTTCCAGCTTGCTGGTCTGTTCCTCTGTATCGTTTAATCTCCTGTTGATTCCTTCTAGGGTATTTTTCATTTCAGTTATTGTATTCTTCATCTGTTTGTGTCTTCTTAAATTTCATAACTCTTCATTAAAAGCTTCTCACTCTCACTCTGTTCACCCAGTCTTCTCCCGAGTTCCCTGAGCATCTTTATGGTCATTACCTTGAACTCTTTATCCGTTAGATTGCCTATCTCCATTTCACTTAGTTCTTCTTTGGGGGTTTTATCTTGCTCCTTCATTTGGAACGTGTTCATCTATCTCCTCATTTTGCCTAATTTGCAGTTTTTATTTTTATGTATATGGTAGGTTGATTACATTTCCCAGCCTTGGAGAAGTGGCCCTTTGTAGGCGATGTCCTATGTGTCCCAGCAGTGCACTGCCCCCTGGTCACCAGAGCTATATCCTCTAGGGATTCCCCACCCCCGCCCCCCGTCATGCAGGCTGTGTGGGTCCTTCTGATGTGGTGGGCTATGAGTGATCTTGTAGGCATGGCTGGTCCCAGGTCTGATTGGTTGCCAGGGCCTGCCTGGAGGCTGCCAGTTGCTGGTTGGCTGAGCTAGGTCATGAGAAGTCTGGCTGTGAAAATCTGGGGGTCTCTGGGGTAGTGCTGGCTCGCTGGTGGGCAGAGCCAGGTTCTGGGTTGAGTGGTTATGGGGCCAGAATTCCCAGATCTAGTGTCAGCCTCCTGGTGGGTGAGGCCAGTTCCTGACACAGCTGGCTGCAGGGTTGAGGGTGTCCTGAAGCTTGTGTCAGCCCACTAGTGAGTAGGGCTGAGATCCAGCAGGTCCCCAGACTGGTGCTGCCTACTGGTGGGCAGAGCTGTGTCCCAGACTCTCTGGCTGTAGGGCCCTGGGATATCCAGTCTAGTGCCTGCGTACTGGGCCAGGTCCTGGGTTCTGTGGTGGACAGAGCCATGCCCAGGGATGGTTGTGGGTTCAGGGGTCTTAAGGCAGCCTGCCTACTAGTGGATGGGGCTGTGTCCCCCCCCCCCCCCCAGCTAGTTGCTTAGCCTGCGGCATTCCAGTATTGGTGCCTGCAGGCTGGTGGGCAGGGCTGGGCAGTCCTGAGGCTAATAAGCTAGAGGGAAGATTACAAAATGGTCCCTGCCAGCACCCGTGTCCATGTGACAGAACAAGCTTCAAAAAATGGCTGCCACCAGCGTCGATGTCCCCAGGGTGAGCTCCAGTTGCCTCCTGCCTCTCTAGGAGCCTCTCCAAGATCAGCAGGTGAGTCTGACCCAGGCTCCTTTCAAATTACTGCTCTACCCTGGGTCCCAGAAGGTGTGAGATCTTGTGAAAGCCCTTTAAAAGTGGAGTCTTTGTTTCCCACAGCCTCTGGGTCGCCTAAAATCAAGCCCCACTGGCCTTCAAACCCAGGTGTTCTGGGGGGCTTGTCCTCCCAGTGCAGGCCCCCCAGGTTGGGGAGCCTGATGTGGGGCTTAGACCCCTTGCTCCTTGGGGAGAACTCTGAAATTGTAATTATCCTCTTGTTTGTGGGTTGCCCATTCAGGGATATGGGTCTTGACTATACCACATCCTCCCCCAACCACACCTGTTTTGTTGAGGTTCCTTCTTTATATTTCTAGTTGTAGAGCATCTTTTCCGGTAGATTCCAGTCTTTCTCATCAATAGTTGCTCTATAAATAGTTGTCATTTTTGGTGTGCCCGTGAGAGGAGGTGAACTCAGGGTCTTCCCGCTGTGCCATCTTGACTCAGCTCCTCAGGAGTGTCCGTTTTTATTGAAGAGTAACTCCTCTGAAAGGAAAGGGAGAAAGAATCGATCAGGCGAAGTCATCAGACAAAGACTGAGACGTGACTGTCTCTGTGCCAGTCCAACAAGGGATTCTAAAAATTGCCCTTTAGAGGAGTCCCAGGTTGGGCAGCAATGGCTAGACCTTTGTTCCAATCTTGCTGAGGCATGGGTTGGAACCCCCAAGAGAAGAGTGTGATCTCTGCCCAAAGGCTAAAGGAGCAATGGAGTTAACAGCTGGAGGCTGTTCTGGGATGGGCAATGCATCTTTCCTTGAAAGGAAATACGAGCAGCACATCTGTGGATGCCACAAATGACAAATTGGTTCAACCCGAAGAACAGTCCATAAACAAAGATAATATCTAAATAGCTCTAAAGACGTGTATTTCCTTTTTCTCCCATTTTATCCAAAAAGGAGTTTCTAAAAATTGCCTTTGATTTGGTACTCAAAGAAAAATTTAACAGGCTGGGCCAAAAGAGAGGGTAAAGAGATTGATTCTGCAAGATGGCTGAGGTAAGGAAACTTACAAGTAGCATTTCTTAACATTGCTCAATGGTCATGAAGCTTTCTTTAAGTACCCTGTTTCTAAAGTACTTCCAGAACAGAAATTATATTTTTTAATTGTTTGTATTGGGACACTAACTGGGGTCATTTTAAGTAAGAGTTTAACCCCTAAAACTTTGTTTAGAATTTTATAACCCAAACTAAGGTAAAATATCTTTCAATTCCAACATCGGTAGATACCTGGATCCTAAAAATAATATTATTATGAGTAGAGAATGGTGGTTTTGAGTGTGCAGGTAACCCACAGTAAAGGGTAACCCAGAAGACTCCTAAGGTTAGGATTCAAAGACTTCCTAAAAGAATTAAATGCCTGCATAACAATATGTGTCTTGAAGATTGAAATTGTCAAGTATCCATAACCATCCGTAACACCACGCATATAATACTATAAATGAATCACTGTTGTCTGAAAGACAGAGTCTGAAAGATAGAACATTCTGTCTCAAGATCTATACACAAACATTTACTCTTCTTTTCTTAGAAACAATGAACACAGGATCTGTGCTCTGTGTTTCTGTCTTTTCAGGAATCTGATTATGTCCCATTGGATCATTCCCCTGTGCGCCCTCTCTTCCATGAGAGAGAAATCTGGCCATCTGCTTGCATACTCTATGCAAGCTCCTATGCATACTCCGGAACTCTATTCCTATAGCTGCTTAAGAATTGTGCATCAAATAGGCATCCAAACTTAGTAGTTTTCAGAAAGCTGTGATTCGTTATGCTATAAGCCATCCCTCACTTTAAAAAATAACTTACTTCTAGTCAAAGAGGAAATTAAAGATATCTAGAGACAGGGACTTCCTTGGCGGTCTAGTGGTTAAGACTCCATGCTTCCACTGCAGGGGCACGGGTTCAATCCCTGGTTGGGGAACTAAGATCCTGCATGCCACGTGGCACAGCCAAAAAGAAAAAAACCTAGAGACAAATGAAAACGAAAACATGACAATCCAAAATCCATGGGAGGAGGCAGCAAAGCAGTTCTATGAGGTAAGTTTATAGTGATACAGTCTTACCTCAGGACACAAGAAAAATCTCAAATAAACAACCTAACATTAGACCTAAAGCAACTAGAGAAAGAAGGACAAACAAAACCCAAAGTTAGTAGAAGGAAAGAAATTGCGAAGACCAGAACAGAAATTAATGAAAGGTACAATCTCCCAAGACTGAACTAGGAAGAAATAGAAAATATGAACAGACCAATTACAAGTACTGAAATTGAATCTGTGATTTAAAAACTCCCAACAAACAAAAGTCCGGGACCAGATGGCTTCATAGGCGAATTCCATCAAATATTTAGAGAAGAGTTTAACATCTATCCTTCTGAAACTATTCCAAAAATTGCAGAGGAAGGAATACTTCTGAACTCATTCTATGAGGCCACCATCACCCTGCTACCAAAACCAGGCAAAGATACTGCAAAAAAAAGCAAATTATAGGCCAATATCACTGATGAACACAGATGCAAAAATCCTCAACAAAGTACTAGCAAACTGAATCCAACAATTCATTAAAAGGGTCATACACCATGAACAAGTGGGATTTATCCCAGGAATACAAGGACTTTTTAATATCCACCAATCAGTCAGTGTGATACACCACATTAACAAATTGAAGAATAAAAGCCGTATGATTACCTAAATAGATGCAGAAAAAGCTTTTGATAAAATTCAACATCCATTTATGATAAAAACTCTCCAGAAAGTGGGCATAGAGGAAACATACCTCAACATAATAAAGGCCATATATGACAAACCCACAGTTAACACCACACTCAATAGTAAAAAGCTGAAAGCCTTTCCTCTAAGATCAGGAACAAGACAAGGATGTCCACTCTCACCACTTGTCTTGGAAGTCCTAGCCAAGACATGGAAGTAACCTAAATATCAATCGACAGATGAATGGATAAAGAAGATGTGGTAGGGGCTTCCCTGGTGGCGCAGTGGTTGGGAGTCCGCCTGCCGATGCAGGGGACACGGGTTCGTGCCCCGGTCCGGGAAGATCCCACATGCTGCGGAACGGCTAGGCCCGTGAGCCATGGCCGCTGAGCCTGCGCGTCCGGAGCCTGTGCTCCGCAACGGGAGAGGCCACAACAGTGAGAGACCCGCGTACTGGGAAAAAAAAAAAAAAGATGTGGTACATATATACAATGGAATATTACTCAGCCATAAAAAAGAATGAAATAATGCCATTTGCAACAACAGGAATGGACCTAGAGAGTATCCTATTAAGTGAGATAAACCAGAGAAAGACAAATATCATATGATATCACTTATATGTGGAATCTAAGATACAAATGAACTTATATACAAAACAGAAATAGACCCACAGACATAGAAAACAAAGTTATGTTTACCAAAGGTGAAAGGGGCTGGGAATAGCAATAGATTAGGAGTTTGGGATTAACATATACACACTACTATATATAAAATAGATCACCAACAAGGACCTACTGTACAGCACAGGGAACTGTACTCAATATTTTATAATAACCTATAAAGGAAAAGAATTTGAAAAAATTATATATATATATATATATATATACACATATATATGTGTGTGTGTGTGTGTGTGTGTGTGTGTATAATTGAATCACTTTGCTCTACACCTAAAACTAACACAACATTGTAAATCAACTACAATTAGAAAAACAAAACTAAAGAGCTATACAATCTATGCTCTTATACACCATCTGTGGCTGAACTGTGGTATTTTCTGAAATTCTACATTTAATAAGAGGCTGCCAACAGTTAAACCGGAAACTAACTGATTTGTGGGACTCACTAGGAAGACTTACATATCCAACAAAACTCAAAAGTCTGTGTTTGGTTCCTTGGAATGTACTGCAGGACAGTTAAAAAGTGTCTACCTGCAGACACCTGATAGAACACAGGAATTTAAATGGAAGTTATTTCATATGTCATGAGAAGGTTTGCACATTTAAACTAAGAAGTTGATAACATATGAGTGCTGTCTGAAATGACCTTCATGGCTGTTGACTCTCATTTACCTTTCAACACACTGGGGAAAAAACTATCTTCATCTTAAAGGGTCTAGGAAGTTCTATTCACTCAATGAAGCAGAAGTTATTGGATTCAGAAGATACATATGTAAGTTATACAGAGTTTTAAATAGAGCAAGAAAACAATGTTAGTTAACCAAAAAGGATTACTTTAGAACACTAAAGTTACCACATTTTTCAAACAATTTAGCTGGTAATAGATGTCCTTACCATTTTGGGACATTATTGCATGATTAAGGGTATTATTGTAGCTACTCATAACTTATATAAACGATTTGGGACACTGTCTAGTAATGTAAACATCTCATTATTATGATGAAAATGTATCAAGTCCAAAACACTCCTCTGCAAACACTAAGTGGTAATAATAGTACAGTTGTACAAAAACACTTCCCAAGAATAAGTTTAGAATGGAAATTAGATATTATAAAATGCTATGAAGAAGGACCCCAAAAAAGGTTAAGCTCAGAGATGCAAGATGAACACTGCCACAATACAGTTGGTCCTAAGTCAAACTATTGTTTGAATTTAGTATTTTGGGGTGACCTGGAAAAAGGCAATAGTAATACCAAAAGTCTTACTACAAGTATTTATTGTGCTTTAAATTTCTGACGTTTCTCCATTTCTGTTCACCAACACATCCATCTTCTCTTATTTTGTGGGGATAAAAATAAGTCTTTATTGAAGTATGAGATCTGCAGCAAGATTGTTTCCCGCCCTCATCCCACCTATAGTGAGGCTATGGCTAGAAGTGCCTGGGGCACCACGTGGGGCCACTGAGAGCTTCCCGCAGACATCTCCCCTTTCAGAACCAACGTCATGGCTGGCCCACTATTGTGGGTTTTCTTAGGATTGCAAGATGCCCTCAGCAATAACCATCAGGAAAGTTTGAAGGACAAGGGTTCTTACTCACAGGTCCTGGAGGGTACACAGCCTATCTAGGGCCACACGATGAGGTCACAGGTAGAAAGGGAGCCCGGGCCTGGGGTTCTGCTTTTATTGGGGTCCAGGGTTGGGGACCTAGGTTTTTGCAGACACACCCTTTACTGATGAGTTTATAACATTAGGAGTAGGAATTAAAGAGGCCAAATGGTCAGTTACCTAAGTCAATGAGAGATGGGGCCTGACTCTATCTGGTGATGTGTTTTTTTTAAATAGCCATCTTTGAAGTGGATGCATCGGCAACCAAAAGCTTAAGTCAGGCACTTGCATCATAGTCCAGAAAACCATCAGGAGTTTATACTACAAAGATACACATTATATAATGTAGAGCTATAGCCTATGTAAGCTAAGTGGGTGAAACAAAGCCAAAAGAAGAGTATTTCATGACACATGAAAATTAGGTGAAATTCAAAGTTCAGTGTCCATAAAAAAAAAAGTGTTATTGGAACACAGACATGCTCATTCATTTGCATACTGTC